CAGGGCAATGACCAGCCATAATTGCTCTTACTAAAGAAGATGACAGTCGTCATTGAAACGTTGTCTTTTGTATGGCCACTTCAAGTGGCTGTGAATAAAGGACTTACCTGTTGAAGGTAGACAGTCCTGTCTTTTTTTACTTTCAGGGCTAGAAGTATCACCGATAATATACCTAATGCATGCGGGTTAGTGTAAGAAAATATGAAGCAGGTGCCTGTAAATCTTCAAACTTTTGTGACAATAAAACCACATTTAGGTTAATCAAATTCTAGTGTTGGTAATGTCTACCTGCATCACGGCTCGTAGAAACATTCTGTTGATTGAAATAGAAGCCAAAGCAAACATTTACCAATGCAATTGTATGTTGTCAAGATAATAATTTATTGTTGCCTACCTGCCTGCCTAAAAAACTAGGCCTGGCCCCTTACCCCTCTTCATTTTGGTTTTCTTTATTGTTTGCTTCTCGAAAAATGTTCTACTGATTTATGTGTCATGTATCATTCTGTATATTTTTTTCTGGTGTCTTGTTATTAGTGTCATTATTAGACCCACCCTAAGGTGTTTATAGTAATATAATATAATATAAGGGAAGCTATATATTATATTAAAGTAACTGTTTACCAATTTCTTAATGATGTGCACCTCTTTATAGGAGGCAAACAATGTCACCATTCCCTGGTCATGGGATTTCTATAAGACAAACAGCTCGGCGCTTTTTAATCCGACCCCCGCCTACTCGACGTTTGTCTCCTCTCCAACATTGAAGCTGGAGAAATCTGCTGCTCCATCGATGGTGATATCGGATGAGGGCATTGGGGCACCTGGGGGTGAGTCAACTGAGTTCTCTATGTCCATGCTGATGATTGACTGTTACCTCCAAAAGAACTATACACAATAGTGGAACAGTTTTAATCCTCCGTCTTTCCATAGTTATTTTAACATGTAAGTTCGCTAGTCAGAACAAACAGGTTTTAACTTCCTTGCTCAAAGAAAGCAAAGATGCAGGCTGTTTTAGGAAAGGCAATGGGGCAGTGCATAGACAGAATCAGCAAGAAATCCACATTATCAATAAAATTAACAGTTCACTCTTATTTCATACATATCATATTTTTTTCAAAACGATGTTACAGTCACATGTGGCAGCGGGTGGAGTGAATATAACAACCACTGCTACATGTTGTCGGGATGGAGATTCTCCTGGTCCGAGGCAAACCGAAATTGTAAACAAAGTGGTGCGAATCTTGCTTCTATCCAAAATAAGGAGGAAAACAACTTCGTCAAAGATCTTATCAAGAATGGTAGGGATTAAATACGTTTTTTCCAGACAGTAGTTGTTTATTACCTATTATTGTATTGTACTGTATTGTATCTTTGCAAGATTTGTAATTACAAATGTAAGATTGCAAAAGCCTTCGGGCATGATTCTGCACATTAAGTTATAATAAACCGTTGAATGGCCCCTAAATATGCAAAATCATCAAGCTTGATCAAGGAAAATATATATTCTTATCTTTCTCATGGCTGATATCATAAAAGTCAAAAATCCTAAAGCATCTTTGACTTTGTGATCAAAACAATAGTTTGAATACCATGGACGTTCAAGTACCTGCATATTCGCAGGTCTAATATGTTTGGTGATTTATTCATAATGGGACTAATGGTTTTCATTATTGTAACAGATGTTCAGTCTCTACTAATGTGTTATTACTACATGTACGTAAATATTACTTTACACTGTCTGATTCTTGATTCTAAAATCAACTTAACTCAGAGGCCACTGTGTAATGTAAACTTCAGGAAGGTTAGAATGAATAAAGTTGAAAATTGTAAAAAAAAATTGCTGTGACATTTACTAACTCAAAAGTTCTGCAAACGTTTGAATATTTTTATTTGTTGTTGTTGATTGGCTATCCAAATAACAAGACCCCTTCTTCTCGCTGGATTGCAGCCCCTGCCAAACAGGTCTGGATTGGACTCCGTGAAGGTCGTAGGTGGAAGTGGTCGGACGGTGCACGGCTCAGCTACAGAAACTGGTCGCCTGGAGAGCCCAATAACAGTTTCTGGAGTGGGAGAGAGGACTGTGGCTCTATATACACCAAGGTGGGTGCAAGCATTGCAGCATTTCAATAAATGCCAGTAACATGTCAGTACGGTCAAGACAGTAAAAGATCGGTCAGAATTTTTCTTAAGATATGCTTGTCAGTGCGTTACAGTCGTATAAACTGATTTATTTTAATGTTACTGAAACTACTGTCAGTTGCTTTACCAGTCCTAAAGGTTAACTAGGGGTGTTTCTTTTTTTTCTGGAAATTAATTCATTGGCTGCTAATTAATTCATCATCACATTTGTGGAATGATTAATATAACAGGTGGCTATCACCTTCCAAGGAAATATATTAACGTTTTCTGTAACATTTTACAGACATTCAGAAAGAGGACGTTATCTCGTCAACGGGGCACTGCTGGGAAGTGGAATGACGCCAACTGCAAGTGCAACTATCTCTTCATTTGCAAGAAGCCAAAAAGATAACATGTCCATCCTTATAAGGCTACACCGATTTATCATTTTAAAGAAAGATTTGAAGAAATGTCAATTTTAAAACAGAAGCCTCGGAAAATAACGTTCTAACGAATCCATAGCTGGCTTAAACTAATATGAATCGGTAACATATTTCTTCTCGTTCTGTGTATTTTCATATTGATCTTCAAGTGTAGAATTTTTTCTTACCCAAGGATCATCCAATCAAAATAGTGTGGCCTCAAGTGGAAATTTAAAAAATAATTTCTGAGGCGGAGAATTTTAGCAATTTAAATTTAGCAATTTTAGATTTTAATTAAAATTTTAAAAGATGAAATGTGATGCTGTGTTAGAACTATGTAGCATTTTATCAAAGGACCCTAAAATCCTAAAGTTGAGAAGATTTCATTTTTATTTAATTTTTTTTCTTTGTACAATAATCTAGTATGTATTACAATAATGTAATATTATTAAGTAGAAAAAAATAATCCCAACTATAGTACGTCAAGGAAATACCTGAAACATAATCTTAAATTTTCTATATCGTGCCAAATACAGTTGCAATCTAATATTCCAAAACTATTCTTTTCAGAATTATAATTTGTAATGGGATTTAAAGCAGCCCGTAATGGTACAATAATAAAAATTCTGTTCGACACGTTTCACCTTTTACATTATTATAATTGTATATTACATTTTTATTAGCCTTTGGCAAGAATTTCCAATACAATGAGATATACACTAAGTATCATGGCAATCATGATATTGGATTCAGTTTCAAATCAGGTTTTTAAGCAGTTTGTTATCAGATATGCACCTGATTGACAGTAATTAAAAATTCCCCAAGTTAGACCGGCCTAAGTTGCGTCACATTTTAATATGAACAGATCCAAATATATTAAGTGGATATTTAAAAGAAAAAACGGGTAAAATGAAATAGACCTTAAAATACAGCAAATTGTAAGAATTAAATGATTGATGCTTCAAGAAGTGGAAATTAATGGTTTGTACGTTAAGACATTTTGTGATGTTCCTCCAAGTGTCAATTATTACATCAATTATTAAGAACCTTTTCAACTCCTTATAATGTTATTATCATAATGTGATAATGTAATTGGATACTAGTTTTTTTTTAATTTGCTATCATGTTGATCATGTAATATAGATGTAGATTTGTTATCATGTTGATTATGTAATATAGATCATGCTTGACTTACTTGACTAATATAGATCATGCTTGAAATACGCAATTAAGCGTCTTTGTATACAAAAGCTGCCATGTCTTTTACTGCATTTATAAACGAAGTCATTAAACACAATATATATAGAGTAATACAAAACTAGAGGTCGGAGATCTCAAGCCTTTGTCAGAGATATATGGTTCTAGAATTAATTCGAGCATGCGTATTCTTTTTTTAATAATCAGTTTGGTCTATCTATAGATTAAAAAAAAAAAAGAATATCTGTGATCCTTTTTTTAATTCTACAGAACACCCAAAAAGGGTTCGCCACAGATTTACAGACGCGCTGTCTCATGTGTTAAACCTCCCTAAATTATTTGATTTTAGACTGTTACTGGAAAAAATAAAAATGTACCAAGAAATTCTTCTTACTGTATTATGATCAAAGTGTCACGACAGTGTCGCAAAATGAAATAAGAGATCTAATGAAAGTGACGAATCAGAACAGGGCGACATCTGCTATTTAGTTGATTTATTTTTCAAGACGTATAAAAGACGTTTCCCGTCGGCTGAACAGACAATCACGTGAGCCCTACCCTGATACTAATTATTCCGCCCCTTTACCCTCTGACACTTCCTCCCTAACCCTCGTAAGGGTCATTCGTGGCTCAACCTTTCTCTGTACGGTCACTACCCTAATTGTGTGTGTTTGTCTGTGAAATAGACGGGAAACATAGTTCTCTTCGGAGCTTGCAAAGAAGAGAAGGTCTGTTTCTCTGTGAGATTTCGTGGTCTATTTGCATATATTCGCTCCAATGTGACTTACACTAAAATGTAATCCTTACGCTATAACTTTTATGTTAGAAGTTTGTAAAAATCCAAAACAAAATCTATAAAATCCAAAATGACAAAGTTAAGAATTACTAGTGTAAACGTCTGATTAAACGTCGATTACGCTGAATACCTTTAATTAGTTTACATTTGCAATATAATTGATTAATTCATGAACAGCATCCAGTTTAATTCCACCATAGCCATCTTAGAGCATCAGGGATTAACCCAATAATGTATAGAAGTGTACAGAATTCTCTCCGTCCCATAATTCTGTCAGCTACAGTTGCCATAATTCTGGCTCCAGTTCCCTTGTTTAAAAATTAACTGCCACCACGTCTGTCTTAAATCTTTTTTAATACCTCTTGTTTACAATATTAGTAAGCTTGTTGATATATGAAAATAAAAGTACGGAATTAAACTGTAATTCCGAGATTAAAACTGACTGCCGACAGGCTTCAGGCCTCTTCCTTCAGACCAAGTCTCTCCATGGCGACCAGTCGCAACTTCTTCCGGTCAACCTGATCCAAAAACAAATGATAAAAAAAAGTTTAAATAAATCTGCATAAAAAACACTAGCAGCAATGAAAAAGAATTCAACAAAGAGAAATGAATTGAAACGTACAAAGAAAACCAAATGCATGCATCTAGAAAAAATGAAAACAAGACTTTTGAAAAAAGTTTATCTCGGCCGCTGGCCATGTAGTTTTGTGTTCTTTTAGGATGTCCACATAGATTTGTGTAACTGCTAGAGAGGAAAGAATGTATTACCTAGTATGTTCATACCTGTAACACCAAACAGGGTAATAAATTGGCTTCCATTATCATTTGCTTCAATGGAATTAGTGAAAAATATTAATCTCGAAGCAGATGTTGGGAGGGAAAATGTTTAGGTAGAGATACAGATTTTCATTTGTGATTGAAGATTTGAGAGACAGGAAAGAGTTTAGGATATGTATGTGGAGCTAATTTCTCTGTTAGAGTAGGTTACACAGCTCTATGTATGGGGAAGACATTTTTTGGAATCAGTAGTGTCATGTTGTATATTACAGAGGAACTATGTTTCATCTGTAATGTCTGGACAATACTGATGAATAAAGAGCAAAGATGCATGTGTCAAAAGTGAAATGTTTTATTTTGGTATAACTTCATGAGACAACACAAAATGGAGTGGCTACAATAACAGAGCTGTCAAACGTTATCAAGCTTAATGCACTAACATATTGTTAGGTTGTACGAATTCATAAATTTTCACGGGGGGGGGGGGCGGATAACGTAACTCTGTTTAAATCTGTTCAACAGCACGAATAAAACACAATGTAATTGATTGCCCTTGCCCGTAGTATCTTTAGCTCCATTTTTATCCTATGGCTCTATGCCTAATACCCTTATAATTCCTGATATTTTGCTATTTTTGCTAAGTAAATACCTAAGCAGCCTCATGCGTTACATCCGGGATCTTCGATATGGGAAATTCCATTCAGGCCACTAATCAAAAGCGACATCTTGCGACCGAGGAATATAGTGCACTTCCATAACCTTCGTCTTGACTTATTCAGATGTCTCAAGGTAATATTAAAACGTATTTTTTAAACT